ATTTATTGTGCGCTTTATATCTATTATTATGACATCAGCTCGACCTCAGATCTATAGGCATTAGATCCTGGAGGTTGGGAGCCCCTGTTTTCAAGTCTAACAATAATATTATTATTTTTTGCTGTGCTGTAGTATAGTAGCCCAGGGCTTCAATGGAGGTTCTGTGTGCGGCCATGGGAAATTCAAGGGGAAGGGGGTGTGCTCTCAAGACTGGTAGGGCAGAAAGAGGACAGCTGATGTATAGTGGATGGAGAGGCTGAAAGTGTGAGATGAACTCCAGCACAATAGTAAGAAGGCGATAATTCTCTGGGCACAGCTGGTGAGGCCAGTTTTCAGATGGTTGGCAATGACCATGGGAGAGAGGTCGGAAGAAGAATCCATCTTGTAGGTTTAAGTCAGTGTCTCTCAAACTATAACATGCAAATAATGTTACACGGGGATCTTATTAATTATTAAATTCAGATTTCGTTCAATAGGATTCTGCATTTTGAACAAGCTTCCAGGTGGTGTCAAGGCTGCTGAAGTCACCTTGAGTAGCAGGACTTCATGCTGAAGGGTCTGAGCGGGCAGGAAGGATATGGCCTGGGGTCTTGATGGGCTGGGGAGGGAGGAACAGGTTAGAGGGTGCCACAGCTGAGTTCATGGGACAAAGATCCTAGGCTTGCGGGGCTAAGACCGGACAAACTGGATATTGGAGAGGGTTGGGGAATGACTTACACATCAAAGACAAACCTACCTCCCATGGGGTTACCTCTGGCCAGGCCTGACAAAGTGTTTTGTTCTGGGCAAAACTGCCCCAGATGTGGGCCAGATGAAGAGATGCTGGGAGTACCTCGGCCAACTGACCTTATCCGCCCCTTACTGCCCACATCAAGGAATGAGACATACTTGATCTCTACTGGAGCCCTGGTCCAGAGGTGGCATGAGGGCGAGTTCTCATTCTGGGGTTCCATGCCCCTCAAATCTACCCCCCAACTCCTCAGACCCCGACCTAGGCTTGGCCTCCTATCTTCCTCCCCCATCAGCCCTTCAACAACGGCTCCTGTGGGCAAAAATGGGCTCCCTCCTGCCTCTCCCCCAGAAACAGAGAAAGGTGTCTGAAAGGTGGTAATTCTGCATTCTAAGACTATTTAAAATAACAAATGAAGGGACTTCCCTGGTGGTCCAGTGGCTAAGACTTTGCCTCCCCAGTGCAGGGTGTGTGTGTTTGATCCCTGGTCAGGGAGTTAAGATCCCACATGCTTCATGGTCAAAAACCAAAACATAAAGTAGAAGCAATATTGAAAGAAATCTAATAAAGACTTGAAAAAACAAACGGTCCACATTAAAATAATAGACCTATGAAAACAATGACGAAGGCTCTTATTTAAAAGAGTGTTTCCTATGTGCAATCACATGCTAAAGCACTTTATGTTTGTCAACTTATTTATTTCTCATGTATTATTCCTGTTTTACAGATGAGGAGACTGAGGAAAAGAGAAGTAACTTGCTCAAGGATACACAGAAAGTTGGAACTGGCATTCTGGTTCCAGCATGTATTCTTCCAAGAGGTTATGTGTGCCTTTTGCAAAGGGCTTCTTTGATGGCTCAGATAGTAAAAATATGCCTGCAATGCAAGAGACCTGGGTTTGATCCCTGGAGAAGGGAATGGCTACCCACTTCAGTATTCTTGCCTGATGAATTCCATGGACAGAGGAGCCTGGTAGGCTACAGTTCTTGTGTTGCTAAGAGTCTGACACAACTAAGTGAGTATCATTTTCTGCAAATAGTAAAGTTGCATCATATGCAATTTTCATACCTAAGTGGTCAAAGAGAAGAGAAACAAAGAGAGAACAACAATTTAAATGTGTAGACAATTGCCTGTCTTTCTTCTCAGCTAGCCTTGCCCCAGAGAGAACAAAAACTATGAGACATAAATCTGGAGATCTGTTGGTCCATTTCAATTCTTTCTGCTTCTCAGACTAATGGTGAAAATACCATAGTGCCCTGAATTTCATTCTAGTTTAAAGACGTATTTTTTTTCATGCAGCACAAATCTTCAGATGTAAGCCAACTGTTTCATCCTGTGTTCCACTGGAGAAATAGCTATCTGTTCTCACCCTGGAAGAAAAATTGGTGCGTGGGACTCAATGAAAGATACTAAGGATGCTACTCCACTATAAAATTATTTCTACTGTTATTCTTTGTAACTGTGCAGTATTTCAGGTCTGTATTAAATTACATGGGCTAACCTGGGCATCTAATAATCATTTGAAGCATCATCCTGTGTTCTCTTACCTCTCTGCTTTTCCCTGGCTGATCTCTCTTCCTGGCTTGCTCTGATTGCTTCTTTGACTGGCAAATGTCTACTTGTCTTTCAAAATCCAGCTCAGGCAGGCACCACCCCTCCTGGAAGGCTTATTTTTCCATTCTGGTTGGATTGAACACACTGCTCTAACCCCATAGAGTGCATCACTTTGTGTGGTCACCGTCCCCTAACTTGTCTGGTTCCTTCCCTGTTAGGGTTGATTCCTTGAGGGTAGGATGGTGAGTTTATCTCCATAATCCCTGACGACTAGCCTGTGCCTGCTTCCTAATAGACTTTGAACAAGCAATTATTGAACGGATATGAGTGTTTGAGCATATGCTGCTCTCTATCTGGGATGATGTTCCCTTCTCTAATATATACATTCTCTCTCTCTTTCTCTCTGCAATCTGAATTGTATTCATCTTTGGTCTTCAGTTAAAGCCTCTGCTCCAGATCCTGCAGCTGCGTACACCGACACACCCATACTTCTGCTTCTCCAAGACTCATCAGTCAAGTTATTGCTTTCTTAGCATTTGTCTTTCTGGCCTGACAGTCAGCCCCACAGGGACAGAGCTTCATCTGCTGCCTCTTCCAGTGCTGATCACAACATTAGGTACCCAGTAGGTTTCCAATCACTGTTTGTTTAATAAACGAACAAACAAAGGAGTCAGTGAGCAATTATATTTTTGAGTCTCCAAAGTCAAAACTTCCATTTGTGGCCAAATACTGGGATCACTACCCAGAGCTAGGACGAGTGAGGGGAAAGGGCAAGGGCACTGCATGTGAGAAGGAGCTCCCTTCTGATGCCAGCCTGGTGACTCCTCCTGGCATGGTGGGCCTGGGGGCCTTGCCTGCCCCGCCCCCACCCCGCCCGGTTCCTTCCTGGTAAAACTCAGGCCTTCAGAGAAGATGACAACAGAAATCTAATATACACATATCAAGCAAACTGCTGGAATTGAATTGGTCTTATAATAAAATCACAAGAAGGGGAGAGCTGAAATTTCCTGGCCTCAGGAATTCCAATATTACTGGAATTCTGTTTCTCTTCTTCGCTTTCCTCTGTTCCTATGTGTTATTCTCTCAGAATATTGTATACATATAAAATCTCCTCTTGGTTCTGTTTCTCCAGAGAACCTTGACTCATACAGTGCTGATAGAAGTTTCTGGAGAGAATGGATTCATACTCCCTTCTCCTCGGCTACCCTTCCCTGCCTCACTGTGCATTTGGCGTGGGGAGACCAAGGAAGGCAGTTTCCCAGGCCTCACTGTGCTCCTTGGCATTTCTTGCTGTATCTCTCTGATCAGGGCAGAAGGGGCCCTCAGTCCCGAGAAGGGGTGCAGAGTCTGCTGCTCCCAGATCATCTGCTCCAAAGCAGGCAGGGGAGCTCCCCGGCTGGGAGGGAAATTGAAGCTGAGCTGAAATGGAACAGCTGGGCCTCTTTCAAAGGCACAGCCCACTGGGGAGAAGCAGAGCAGTTTACCCTCCCTTAGCAACCCACCCGGAACCTGCCCGAGTGATGCTGCCCTTTAAAGACCTCAAGGGCTTGAGGAGAAGACAGAGCCTACAAACACACAACACAGCCGTCCGTCCCCTCCTTTCTTTGCATCGTCGCTTGCTGGGCTATTTCCAGATGATGTTAGAGAGAAATAAAGCCCCTACCTCAGAGAGTGGATGGGACCATCAGAGCTCTCTGTGGCCAGAACACAGCATCTGCTACTATGACTATCGCTGCAGAGGGAGAGTCGGTCTGCGCAGGGGAGAGACAGACAGACAGGTGGTTCTTTCTGCCTCCAAAATGCTGCAGTTCTCCAACCTCAGTGTGCGTGAGAATCACCTGGAGGACTCACTGAAACAGCTCACCAGGTCCCAGCCCCAGAGTTTGTGATGCAATAGGGCAGGGCCTGAGAATCTGCATTCTCAACAAGTTTCTAGCTGCTGCTGCTGGCCTGGGGGCCACACCCTGAGAACGCCTGGCCTCACATAGCCTGACTGCACTTGAGAATCACTGGAGCGCTTTATACATGCCTGGCTACCACCAGGACTCTGACTGAAGTGGTTTGGGGTGTGGCCTAAGCATTTGCATCTTTTATGCTTCCCACCTTTTCTGCATCAGTACCCCAGTTCTGATGGCTGTGTTGGGGCAATGGCCATGCACTCAGTGTCTCAGTTAGGAGACTGGGGGATCTGCCAGCTGAGCCTCACATTTCCCCACTGGGCAGGGGTCTGATCCAGCTCCCACACTCGGCTGAGAATTGTCCACTCCTGGTGACTTCTCTCAGCCTCCCTCACTGTCTCCACGTGACATAGCCCACTGCCCATGTCAGGGTCCTGTGAGGTCTCCAACCAAGTTCTTGGCCCCAAAACCCAGGCCAAGGCTGACTGAGCTAACAGGTCCTGTTGACAGACCTCTGTCTCTGGGTCTGAATCTCTCTGTGTGGGGCTTCTAGGGCCAGGAGCCCCACCACCGACCCCTGGGTCCCCCTAGACTCCAGGATCTGACCAGATGTGGGCCCAGCTGTCCTATTGCTGGCCCATGTGGGTGCTCACCCCCAGACTTGCCCCGGTGGCCTGCTCCCTCTGGGCACAGCTCATGCATCTGGCCTCCTGCTTCCTCCGTGAATCCTGTGATGTTCTAGGCATTAATTTGAAACAGCAGCAAGCTCTTGAGAGGTAAAGCCTTACATTTAAATTTCAGAGAGGGACCCTCCTTACCCTTTGATGTTCACGGCACAAACAGATCTTCAAAGGCTATGATATTTACCTCAGCACCTCAGCTCCCTAAAAGAAAAAATGCTTCATTGTTGAAACGCATCGTTTCTAATTAGAGCCTTTGCCAGGCTGAGGACTCCGGGGAAGTGCCCCTCCCCCTCCTACTTCTATCCTCCCCACCCAGGAAACTGAGACCCTGGTTTACTGCTCCCCATCCCCACTTCGCACCTTCAGTCCCCCTACTCCTTGCCCCTAAGTGCCCCTTCTTGAGGCCCACTCACTTGGAGGACACAGTTAGGATCCCAGGAAATAGTCGACGTCCAGGGGCCTTCTGGGATAGAGGTGGGTGGGGTGATTTTTTTCTTTTAAATTCTTTCCAACTTATTTCCAAATCTCATCAGGGACATTTTCTCCACTCCCTAGGGCACCTCCTGGCCTGGGTCATCTCCTCCTCCTTTTTTTTTTTTTTAATGTTTATTTATTTGGGTGCTCAAGGTGTTAGTTGTGGCACACAAACTCTTAGTTGCAGCTTGTGGGATATAGCTCCCTGACCAAGGATTGAACTTGGGCCCCCTGCATTGCAAGCGCAGAGTCTTAGCCACTGGACCATCAGGGCAGTCCCCATCTTCTTCTGTATGTCAGGATTGATAGGGTATACTCCATCCCCAAGTCTCACAGGCTTATTTCAGGAAAGGATTTCTTTTTAACTTAGGCTAAATCTGATGCAGGCTGGGCATTCCTCTTTCATCTTGAAGCTGCACTGTCTTGAAATTGTGGCCTCCGCAGTCTCTCTGTGTGAGAGGGAGAGAGAGGTGGAGGAGTCCCACTGGCTCCTAACTGCTTGGGCCAGAATGTGACACGTACTCTTTGCTGCCAGTCCACTGGCCCAAAGTCGTCAGGAGACCCTGATCTGCTCCATAGCGAGCACGTGAAATTTGGGGTGAGCTCCAGCTGTGATATCCTCCCTTCCCAGCTGATGTGGCTCAGGGAACATACACCACTTTCAATATGTTTCCCTGGATCCCTAATAAGAAACAGTCTTTGTGGGGTATGTGTGTGTCTGTGTACTCACTCCGACTTTTTGCAACCCTATAGGTTGCAGCCTACCAGGCTCCTCTGTCCATGGAATTCTCCAGGTAAGAATACTGAAGTGGATTGCCATTTCCTCCTCCAGGGGATCTTCCTGACCCCAGGACTGAGCCCTCATTTCTTGCATCTCCTGCATTGCAGGTGGACTCTTTACTACTGATGCCACCTGGGAAATCCCTTTGTTGGGTGGAGGGGTTGTTAATTCTGTATTTACCCTAGATCCATCCCCTATCCTTCTAGGACCTGGAATCTGCTGGATTCCTCTGTCCTTTGACTTACAGTTGGGTTCAGTCAGGGGAAAATGAGTGCTGGGAAATCACCAACAGGAATGGGAAATCAGCAGCAGAGGAATGGGACATTACCAGCAGAGAATGGGAAGCTGGAGGAGAGGGAGGCAGAAGGCGCAGCTCCTTCACTCCCTCCCTGCCAGCCTTGATTTGGCAGCACTGCTTCCTCTCCCCACGGCTACAGCACCTGTAAGGCGGCCTCAGTCCCTTCCACACTCATATTCACAAACCCCCTCTCCCCTCTTCCAGCATCCTGCTCTTGCTGGTCCCCGGGAGTTTCATAATCCTCTGTTGGTTCCCTTCATTCCACCCAAGCCTCTGAAAATAGCATCTCCATCTTCATTAACCTCTTTTCAACTTCCATTTGAATTAACCATCTTCCCACCTGGAAAGGAGCAACTGAGCAGGACTAACTCCTGGTCCCAGCCAGGGACAATATCTACTAACCTGTGGGGGCCAGTGATGAGGGGCCAGGCACCCCACTAAGGTCCTAAGCTCTTTTCCTGGGTTGACAGATATAATCCTCATGCTAACCCTTTGAGATAGATTATATTGTTTCCTCAATTTTCAGATAAAGAAACCAAGAAACAAAGAGGAAAAGTAACTTGCCTAAAATCACATAGCACTTGAATTTGAACCTAAGCAGTCCTTGCTCCTGATATCTACTCTACCATGCCACACTTCAGCCCACCAGTTAAAGAATAGGCTCTGGTACACATTGGAACAGTGGACCACACCCCCCTCCCTTCTCTTCCCGTGATTCATACAGGTAGGGGTCTGTGGGCTTGCCAAGTGTTCCTTTGACCTTTGACTCCTGGTTTCATTGATTACTCTAGTTCCCAGACCCTTAAACTTCTAGGCTTCAGGGAAGCTGCAGTTGTATGGTCTCTGGACCTTTATCCAGTATGAGGGCTCTGCTCTCTTATGGTTAAATAATGCATTTTTTAACTCCCTAGTTCAGCAAAGTGTTGCTTTTTGTTATTGGTCGAATTGTGTTTCCCGAAAAGATTTGTAGAAGCCCGAACCCCAGTACCTCAGAACATGTGGATTATTTGGGGACATCGGGAGGCTACTGATGTAATTACTTAAGATGAGGTCATACTGAAGTAGGGAGGGCCCTTAACCCAGTTTGACTGGTATCTGCATAAGAAGAGAGAAATTAGGACCAGACATGAACAGGGTGCATACCGTGGGGAGACAGAGGCACGTGCTGGAGTGATGTGTCCACAAGCCAAGGAATGCCGAGGATGGCCCACAGCCACAAGAAGCTAGTGAAAAGCATGGGATGGACGCCCCCTCACAGTCTCTGGAAGGAACCCACTCGGCCAACATCTTGCTTTTGACCATCTAACCTCCAGAACTGTGAGACAGCACATCTTCATTGTTTTAAGCCGCTCAGTTTGTGATTCTTGCTATGGCAACCCTAGGAAAGGAACAGCCCCTTAAATCACCATGGTTACCGCCTCTATTCCCACCCCTCTCCCAGCAGTGCTCCAGCTCCACTGGCCTCCTTGCTGTGGTCAGGGCTCTCCAGGCAAGTTCCTGCCTTTGGGTTTTGCACTTACTGTGCACTCTTCCTGGAGTGATTTCCCTTAGATGTTCACAGGACGCCTTCCTTCATAATACATTTGTGTGTGTGTGTGTGTGTGTGTGTGTGTGCGCGCGCGCACACACTCGTATTCAGTCATGTCAGACTCTTTGGGCGTTAGCCAGCCAGTCTCCTCTGTCAATGGGATTTTTTAGGCAAGAACACTGGAGTGGGTTGCCACTTCCTTCTCCAGGGGATCTTTCTGATTCAGAATCACACCAGTGTCTCAGTACGGCAGGCAGATTCTTTACCTGCTGAGACAACAGGGAAGCCCATGGGAGATGGAAGGTTTTAAAGACCACCACCCACACTTCAGTCACTCAGAGCCTCTTGGAAAATACCAAAATTTGCCAACATTATAAAAAGCAATACCTAAAATCTTAACAAATATTCACTATAAGAAGGCAAACCTACTTCAAAGATAACTCTGAGGAGCCGACATTCTAGAGCTAAACTGAATCGGCTTTCTCACCTTCACTCTCCTGAATCAGCTATTCTACTGCTTCATGTAGAAACTGACTGCCTAAATGAAACTTTATAACAAGCTGTCAGAAAAGTCTTTGGCCTCCAAAATCTGTAGAGAACAAATAAAAAATTGCTGTGGTACACTTGGAAAACAAAAACCTTCAAGAAACTGACAGACTTGTTAAGAGCTACAGCCAAGAGAGCAGGATTGAAGATAAGGGATCAAGTCAAGAAAAAGAAACTGACATCAGGGAAATGCACAATGAAACCATCTCATACCCACAGAGTATGGCTACTAGAAAAAATAGACAATGACAATGGTTGGCAGGATGTGAGGAAATTTGATCCCTGTGCACTGTTGATAAGAATGTAAGATGGGATAGCTGCTATGAAAAACAGTATGGAAGCTTCTCAAAACATTAAAAAGAATGACCATAAAATTTAGCAATTCTAAAAAAAAATAAAAATCAGCAATTCTACTTCTGGGTATATACCAAAAAGAATTTAAAGAGGACCTTGAGAAGATAACTGTAACATGCATTTATAAGCAGCAGCATTCACAATAGCGAGAAGCAACCCAAATGCCTATCAAAAGATAAATGGATAAATAAAATGGTATATAGACATGCAACAGAATATCATTCAGCTTTAAAAAGGAAGAAAATTCTGAAATAAGCATGCATAAACCTTGAAGGTATTATGCTAAGTAAGTCACAAAAAGACAAATACTCTGATTCTGCTTAAAAGACCTACCTAGAGAAATCAAATTCATGGAGACAGAGAGCAGAACTTCCCTAGGGACTGGGGAAGGAGAGAACGGGGAGTCACTGCTTAATGTACACAATTTCACAGTGGGAATGTAAATTGATGGAGCCACTATGGAGAACAGTATGGAAGTTCCTCAAAAAACTAAATACACAGTGACCATAAGATCCAACAACCTTACTCCTAGGCATATATCCAGACAAAATGATCATTTATAAGGTACATACACCCTCTATGTTCATAGCAGCCTTACTCAAAATAGCCAAGACATGAAGGTAACCTAAATGCCCATCGGCAGATGAATGGACACACACACACATACAATGGAATGAGATGTCTGGATAGCATCAATCAACTCAATGGACATGAACTTGGGCAAACTCTGGGAGATAGAGAGGGACAGGGAGGCCTGCAGTGCTGCAGTCCATGGAGTTGCAAAGAGTCAGACACAACTTAGCGACTAAACGACAACATACAAAGGAATACGACTCAGCCATAAAAAGAATGAAATAACGCCATCTGCAGCAACATGGATGGAACAAGAGATTATCATACTAAGTGAGATAAGTCAGGAAGAGAAAGACCAATACCATATGGTATTGCTTATATGTGGAATCTGAAATATGACACAAATGAATTTATTTATGAAACAGATTCACAGACATAGAGAACAGACTTGTGGTTGCCAAGCTGGAGGAAGGATGGGGAAGGGATGGATTGGGACTTTTGGATCAGTGGATGAAAATCAGTACATATAGGATAGAGAGTAAGGTCCTACTGTACAGCACAGGGAACTATATTCAATATCCTGTGATAACCAACACAACATTGTAAAGCAATTTTCCTCTAATTAAAAAAAAATTTAAAAATAGAACCTAAAAAATATCCTGTGATAAACCATAATGGAAAAGAGTATGAAAGAGAGTATCTGTGTGTGTATACACACACACATGCACACGCACACACACACACATAACTGAAACAATTTGCTGTACACCAGAACCTATCACAACATTGTAAATCACCTATATGCCAATAAAAAATAAGTTTTAAAAATGTACACAGTTCCCGTTTGCAAAATGAAGAGTTCTTGAATTTGGTTGCACAGCCATGTGGATATATTAACAACTGAATTTTACACTTAAAAATCATTGACATAGTAAATTTTATGTTAAGTACATTTTACCAAAACTAGGTAAAAATGTTTCTAAGTAAAAGAGGAAAGAGGAGGAAAAGGGGAAGGGGAAAGAGAAGAGGAAGAAGAAATGAGACTCAAGAGAGTGAGGGGGAGGGGGAGGAAAACCCATGTCCCGTTCCGCTGTGGTCAGCGAGCTGCGTCTGCCTGCTGGGTAAATGGTATCGCCCAGGCCGTTTCTTTTTTCTTTCTTTCTTTCTTTTTTTTTCATTTACTTTCACTAGGTGGAAGCTAATCACTTCACAATACTGTAGTGGTTCCCGTCATACATCTACATGAATCAGCCATGGATTTACATGTATTCCCCGTCTCGGTCCCCCCTCCCACCTCCCTCTCTACTCGATCCCTCTGAGTCTTCCCAGTGCACCAGGCCCGAGCACTTGTCTCATGCATCCAACCTGGGCTGGTGATCTGTTTCACCCTAGATAATATACATGTTTCGATGCTGTTCTCTCGAAACATCCCACCCTCGCCTTCTCCCACAGAGTCCAAAAGTCTGTTCTATACATCTGTGTCTCTTTTTCTGTTTTGCATATAGAGTTATCATTACCATCTTTCTAAAGTCCATATATATGTGTTACTATACTGTAATGGTCTTTATCTTTCTGGCTTACTTCACTCTGTATAATGGGCTCCAGTTTCATCCATCTCATTAGAACTGGTTCAAACGAATTCTCTTTAATGGCTGAGTAATATTCCATGGTGTATATGTACCACAGTTTCCTTATCCATTCTTCTGCTGATGGGCATCTAGGTTGCTTCCATGTCCTGGCTATTATAAACAGTACTGCAATGAACATTGGGATGCACGCCCAGGCCATTTCTTTGGCACGTTCTACGGGAAGTGTTTCTTGAGAAGGAGAGGCAAAAACGAAGCATCCCCTCAAAGCTAAAATCCCTCAACGGTTAAGACCTACTCTAGACTAGAAATGCCCTGTTTGAAATAGAGGAATAAATGCATCTCTTTCTTGGTTGCTTTTATTTCACATTTTACTTTCGAATAGGCGATACATACATGCATACTATAAAATCCAAAAAGTACAGGAGGTACATGGTGTACAAGTCAATTTCCCTTCTTTCCTGGCCCAGCCACCAGTTTCTCTTCTTGGGAGCAACAACCGTTGATTTCCTCTGTGTCGTTCTGGAAGGTAGATTTACCTCTGCCCTCTCCCCATTTTTTTTTTAAGAACTCAAATGGTAGCATTCTAAGCCCATTATTCTGTCTCTTGTTTTATCACTAAAAATTATATCCTGGTGATCATTTCATCCCGTATATGGAGATATGCCTCCTTCTTCTCCTTGCCGCTCCCTTCTTCTCCTCCTTTCTTTTTAAAGTAATATGTCTCATTAACTGACATGGGCAGGACCACGGGGAGCCTGTGACATCTGATCCCCACCTTGAGAATGACCAGCTTTGGAAAGTCACCCCTACTTCCTCCTCCCATAGGAGGAGACCAGTACAATGGAGTCCCACACACTCATCACTCAGATGCAATGATTATCAAAATTCTGTGACATGTCCTTTATCTCGATCCCTCTAAAAGTTCTTTGTTTTTTGTTCTAGCTGATGTAGTCCAAACCAAAACTGGCATTGGGTCATATCACCCCTACATTTTTCAATGTGCAGTTCTAAAATATGTCAATTCTGTCTCACATAACCACAAAGTTATGATCGCACCAAACAAAATTTACAAGAATTCTCTGATATTGCCTTATACCCAGTTCCCAGCAAATTTCCCCATTTGTTTAGTGTCCCCTAAATAGTTGGTTTCTTAAAAAAAATTCTTTCATTTGATGTCTCTTCATTTTCTTTTAATCTCTCCCTCCCCCGTTCTCTTTTAACCATAAATACTCCAGCCACCATCTTTATTTCCCACCACTAACTTGTAGAAAGTGGGTCAGTTTTCCTGAGAAATGACCCACATTCGGGTTTGTTTCTTTTCTTCTTGTAGTGCCATTTGAGTGACTTTACTTATTCTCCATGATTCCTGTGAATGGAAATGGGCTCTAGAGGCGCAACTGGCATTTGTGGCAGGGACCTGTCCTGGAGGTACCATGTGCTGTTACATATTATATCACATTGGGAAACACACAGTGTCTTCCTTTCAGTGACACAAAGATTAATCATTGATTTAGATAGTGACAGCCTGATCCCTTTGTGGTCAAGTTTCCCATCAATCTTTTATCTTACGAGTTTATGCATTGATGACCATTGTCTGAATCAATGATTTCCCCAGGAGTTACGAAATGATGATTTTCTAAGTCTCTCATTCCTTCCACATTTATCAGGCATGTTTTTAAAGAGCCGGAGAACCTACCTTATCCACAAGTCTTCCTCTGAATTACTTAAGGTTATTTAAACTCAAAATCAC